ACCGGGGTATGGGCTCAAAAAAATAAAGAATTGGGTCATAAACACACCTCATATCTTCGACTTCTTATGACAAATATTTTCCACTTGGTTTTATTAAAAAATATTAATTAGAAGTCGAGATATGATAAAAAACGATTTTCGGGGGTGAATTTGAGGGGTCGTTTTCACCCCTTTAAAGTGGATGTCAGCACACAAAAAAAATACGTGTCTCTTGTTTTGTCGAGTACTACAACATATCAAAAAATTATTGAAATCGGTGGGGACGGGTTGGGGGGGTTTCCTTGTAAGTGTTTTTTCGGGGGGATTACCATATGACGTAGTCATATGGAAATTATAAAACTAATACATTAAAAAAAATCGATTTGTGAATTTTCTCAGGTATTCAAAAAATCGTATTATGAAAAAAATTGTAATTCATTGCATATAAATTACAGGAATACATATTCGCGCGAAAAACATAAATTATGTAGAATTTGATTTCACTTAATATTAACAGTTGACTATCATTGCGATTTGTTTTGGCAACATTAGGTCCGTTCGTGCAAATGTTTTTACATGCTCCGGAACACTGTAGGTGTGTTCGAAAATGAGCTAAGAGCGGGGAGTGCATCATTGCTTCTCTGTTTATTGCATGTATTTGATAGAGACACAACATGCTCTCAGCGCTCTCGGTTCATTTTCGAACACACCTATAATGTTTCGAAACACGTAAAAACGCTTGGTCGAACGGACCTACTGTATGGTTTTGCCTGGCACTTTGCCTGGCACAAGAAGAAGAAGAAGTATAATCTTGCAAGTTACTGAACGTCTATTATACAACATGTCAGAATACTCGTTAAAATAGATCGACGACCTCGGTGAAGATAGCCGGACAACTTTAACTTTTTAACTTTTGATTATACCGAATCGATGGATGGTCGTTTGGTGGTCATTGGTGGCCTAATTAAAATATGGGGTAGTCCATCGTTCTTTTTTAATTAAATAATTAAAATTTGACCGTGAAGTTAGCAGAAATTTTTTTTGTTTAAATCAATTCAATGAGGACTTAATCGATATGCATCGTTTGATGGTTACGAAAAGTGAAAACGTTTGGTGTCCCTCGTTTTTCTCAAAAACAGGATAAACCATTCGTAGACAACGAGGGCAGCCATGCCGCGTGCTGTGAAATATGTTTTGTATCTCGTGTGTTAATTAATAACCACCAAACGATTAGGTTTCGATTAAGTTCTGTCATCAGATGACAGTTCTGAGAAAAAAATCTACCTATCGAATTAAATCGAATTGGAGAACTGAAAATCGATTCTGTAATAGATCGAGCAATAAAAGATCGATTCTCAAAAAATCAATTCAATCTAATGACGTCGATAATATATCGACATGGGATTGATAATAAAGACTACATTAATTTCTACTATACATATACAATTAAAAGAATGTTAACCAACTACGTTCTTTCCACTGTTTAAAGTTTGCATGTCACTGGATGATAATCTTTAAATCTAATGTCTGGTCGAAACATAACCTTAATAGCATTTCACAGTTTTAAATTATAAAATTGCAACACTAAAAAATTACTGTAAAAACAATTAAAGAATTACAATACCATATCATACACAGAAAAATTGGAAGTATTGGTATATAGTTCAAAAATTTGTTTTTAATAAATTTTAATCAGAATAAAACAAAATAATAACACTTAACAAGTTTTTCATTGCATTTTATTGAAATTTAATTAGAAGATACTTTTGTACTCTCATAATAATAATATTTTTTTTTTCTATACATTTCTTAAAACTTAGGATATCGATTGTAATTTTAAACAGAATGTGATGTATCGGAATATAGGTAGGAGAAATTATTTAATATGCTAATCAGTAACATCGAGAGATTTTAAAAATAAAAGTTTTGAAAGATAGGTAGAGCTTAAGGTAGTATGTTAGAACTGTGTTATTATAGAAAGTTGACCCTACATTTTTATATGCCTAATCGAAAGAGCTCAATCACCTGTGCTTGTTGACTCAAAACAAAATGTGTTTACCATCAAGTTAAAGAGATATTAATTAGTAAAGTTGGGAAAAATTAAGATGGTGGGGGAAAAAAGATTGTATTTAGTCAGATGTCCTTAATTTAGGCAAAAATTAGCAAGTTAACTTATGGATTAGAATATATTTTCAGGGTCCCTATCAATATGCCGAACGGTCATTTTCCCGCAAGTTTATTTTTCCCAGCGCTCAAGCGTTCGAATTATCATCTTTTCGAAATGCACATTTCCGAATGGTCATTTCACTGAATGTGCATTTACCCAAATGCTCAAGTGCTCGAATCGTTATCTCGCCGAAATACAAATTCCCGAACGTTCATTGTTAGGTAGATCAGAAGGACGTCTGTAAGATATCATTTGCAGATTTATAAGTGTCTATCGTAAGGCAGTAGTGATGATTAACAACGGCTGTATGACATATTTCGAACGTCTCCGTGTTGTGTGGGTAGAGATTAGAAATGGAGTCATAATTGACATTGAATTTAAAGCATCATTTCGATAATCCCACATTCTTATCGTATTCATTGAATAATAAATATTTTATAAATTGATGATATAATAATTGTAAAGATCCGTAGAGGTTTTATGAATTATTGTGAAATAAATCCCGTCTATATACATTTGTAAAAAATAGCTTTCAAAAATCCTATTTTCTATATTAAATTTTTTTCGAATTCCGATGACCTATCTTTATTTTTTGAGAATATGAAAGCTTTATTTCTTTTTATTAATTTAGCAAAAATTGAAAAGATTCTTCAGTAAATCTATTTTGAATTAGATCTTCTGAAGCTTTCGTTGACCCACTAGGTCACTTTGACCCAGGATTATTTTTTCTCGAAAAGAGTACACCCGTAAAACTTTTCCTTAAAAAATATTGAAAATTAAAAAGTTATGATTTTTTAATGCACTGCTCACTTTGCCTAAATCGACAATTTTCAATAATTCATTCAAACAATTTAGTTTTAGATTTTTCGAATTTCAATTATGCAGACATATTAAGAAGGATTAAAACTGTATTTCTAATTTTTTCTATAAAAATTGACTAAAGGGTTGTTAATGGGAGGTAGATGAAGTACTATCTGGATCAATTTGACCCGGTGTGTCAAAATCGTGGCCAGAGATAAGTGGAAGATTAAAAATTAATTTTGCACATTATAAGAATACTGTGTTAATACTTTGACATTGCTCGATCACTGTCGATTTCATATAATAATTAAAAGCAATATAAACATTCAATCGAAAGTATGAAAAATGAAAAATTTCGAGTAGAATTTCCTCTAGGAAATCCGCTTTAATTGTCAATTTACTTTTTTGAATTGTAAAGAAAAAAATGAAAAATTTCATACAATTTTTCATATACAAATTATCTTCGAACTTCAACGAAACGTTTGTGTCTCATTTTTTGACTGGCAGAGATTTTCAGAATTGTTGGGCGGAAAAATATAATATTAGATAAAATTCGGATGTTTGCGAACTTTTTCTCCAATTTTTGTTTAAAATTTTTTCGAATTTGATTAAAACTAAAAAAAAATAGAGGATTCAGACAAAAATGTCCACCAGAGGGATAAATTATATACTAGATGTAAATGCATAAAATATCATACCAGACTATCTATAACATTGCGATTTCATGATAAACAAAAAAAGGGATAAAAAAATGTTTCTAATACATGGACTCACCTAAGAAGCCTGCTAATATTTGCGGAAGAACTCGCGAGTCAGACATTTTATTCGGTATCGCGCAGAATCTGTGAAGATTCTCTCTTTTATTATGATCTTCGCCATCTTATTTGCAACATAGTGGGGATGTTAGAATTAATAATCTCAGTGCTTGCTTATTGCTCGTTTCTATAGACAATCCAAAGAGCTACATTATTAAAACACAGTAAACATTTACAGTAAATTTCTTTATCGCCATTTTTGTTACGTCCGGATAAATTCTCGGAAGATATATGTATACTCTTCAGGTATACCAGGTTATTCAGCCCAAACGCATCACCTGAAATCGTTTTACCATAAGATTCAAATGGGCACGTTAACTTTTGGTGGTTTGTTTGTCTGCATAAGTCTGTATATATTCAACAGTATATCCCAGTAGATATTCTTGTTGGTAACTTGACAATTGTCATTAAACATAATGTAGACAATAAAGGCTTGGCGGCGCTGTATTCGATGCTTTTAACACGGGATCTACGACTTTACCCGAGTAATTACAGTTTTCGTCATTATCTCTACCTGAAATCTACCTCCATGAGGTTATGAACGTGTGAGGTTGTGTTCTAGGAACAGAAAGCTATGTAAGTAATTTGCGAAAAGTAACAAGTAATCAAAAATAATATTGGAAGTGGAATCTGTAAATTACGTGCACATACAAGATGCAGCCGATGCGAAGGAAGCAGGATAAAACAAAGGAGAGCATTCAAAAATTCCAGCTTAACAAAGAGAGTAGGATTATTTGGAACAATAATAATCACCACTGGACAGTTGCTCATCGATAGTGGAGTATGAAAATAAAAAATAACAATAGCACACAAATTAAGAGGAATTGGTTTTCAAGTCGAGGAAATATGGATTGGGACATTACTTTTAACTGGTTTGTCAGACCAATATCGACAAATAATAATGGAACAGAGCTTGGGCACTGCCATTAGTCCTGATTCTATTAAAACTAAGTTATTGCAGGATGTAAAGTTTAACAAGGAAACAAATGGAGATAACAACATAACATTATATTCGAGGGGCCACCAAACCCGTTGTGAAATTAGACCAAGATGCTACTCATGCAATAAGGTGAGTCATATTGCCAGCAAATATGAAAACACAGAGAAGAAGAAACTGAGCACAGCGACAAATGGAGTTCAAATCATAAAGTACTGTATGTGCTGTATGTGCAGAGTGGACCACAACCCAGCGATTGGTGCATTGATTTAAGCACATCATCTCACATGACTTGACGGAGTGATTTAATCCCTTTGAAAAAAAAATCTGCAGTTCACATCACTACAGCAAATAAAGTGAAGCTGTCAGCACAAGAAATCGGTGACACAATAATTACAATAAAAAGGTACGGGGAGCCAATAAAATTAAAATAAAATATGTAATCCTTATGTCTGGCGTTGCTGCAAATCTACTGTAAGTAAGCAAAATTATAAAAAAAGGGGACATAAGGTAATATTTTATGAAAATGGTGGCAAAGTAATAATAAAAATTGGTACAATTATATTAACAGCAACATAGATCAATGGCATATAGAGTTGACACGCCTAAACGGATGAAGGCGGAATGCTATGGCATCGGAGATTCGGGCATCGAAACAAGAAAGGACTTGAAATGCTGCGGAAACCACTAAAATACAATTCAGCGATAGAAATAAGGAAGCATGCGAGGCGTGGGTCTAAGGAAAACACCAAAGGAAGCCGTTTAGAGGTCATGAAAAGCGTGCGGAGGGGATCCTGGACCTTGTGCATTCAGATATTTGTGGTCCTATAGAACGGAATTCCATAGGAGAGTCGAGGTATTTATTAAGTTAATTGGCGCGCGACATTCATGTCCAAAACTTTATTCAAGAATAAAAACATTAAATATTTGTGATAATATTGCAACGAAATATCCTTTGAATTTTTCTTTTTAATATTTATGAAATATTTATATATTTGTTACTTTCTCCATTTTTCCATTGGTTTTTTGTTCATTTGAGATTTTATATAAGATTTTCGTCTAAAGTAATAAATAATGAATATACGAAAACCATCGGATATGATTTTACAATCCAAATATAATAAAATTCTGCATTTCCTTCTTCAATTTATCGTCGATGATATCAAATTATTTCATACGTTTGCGCGCGTTCTACTCCAGGCACATAACTTGGATTTAAGGGCACTACTACCACGCCGTTCACCACAGTTTGCTTGTCCGACAAAATTTTGACGAATTTTTCGTTTTAACTATTAATGTTTTGGAAACGAAACGGGAAAGAATTTTGAAATTTTTTACGTGCATCTTTTTATATCAATTCATTATATATATGTTTCACCATCCAACGACTGGTTTAGATGAAAAAAATGCAATGTGTGTGCAGTATACTTACTACGTAGGGAATTCATGTAAAAACTATAAATTTTGAAACGTTTTCCCCATACTTCTGAACGGTCGATCTTAATAAAATTAGGCTCATTTTAAAGGTACTATTTCAAAGAATTAGGCATACAATTTTTGAAGAAATGCAACGAAAATTATTTTACACGACACTACCTTAACCATCATAGACGATTGAACGCGTAAAGTATTTATTTATACCATGAAACACAAAAGTGAAGTTACTGAAAATATTTTTAAAAAATGTAAGGAAAATCAAACAGGCAGAAAAATCAAGGTTCTAAGGCCAGACAGTGGGACGGAATATGTGAATAGAGTTTCAAGAAATGCTACAAGAATCTGGAATTCAACATCAGAAGACAATACCGTATAGTCTCTAGCAAAACGGTCGCGCGGAATGATTCAAAGGACGATTTTACAGCGCGCATGGACTATATTGTTCGAGGTCAAGTTATCAAAGGAGTATTGGGCAGAAATGTATGTCACTGCGGTCTATTTAATAAATAGATTGCTTGCAAAAGCAATTCCAGGTAAAACACCTGAGGAAGTTTGGTCTGGTGTAAAACCAGATTTAAGCCACGCAAGAATATTCGGTTTCATGCCGTTGATGTACATACTAAGAGAGAAGAAAAAATTTTGATTCAAAATCGAACGAGAACATATTTATTGTCTACTATGAAGATTCAGTGGGTTACAAACTCATCGACCCTATAAGCAAAATGATAAGAAGTCGAAACTTCATTTTTTTTTAGAAAAATCAGTAAATAAAAAACAATTAAAAGAAAAAGATTCTGCGGGAACTTCATCCTTCGTACCGATGATAGAAGAGTTTTTGCCTGAAGAAACAATTGAAGAGTGTCCTGAAGAAATCGTCAAAAATAAAGTAGCTGAAGAAACGGTCAAGAAAATTCTCGGAGAATCTCATGAAAAGTGGTTTCCCGATAGCGAACCACCATCGAAAATACCAGGGCGGCAAAGATGAACAACAGGGGGTGAGAAAATCAACGCGTACAATTAAGCCTGGACAAAGATCATGATTCGTGTCATGTCTAGCTTATGATCGGCACTTGTCGGACCCGCAGACCGCAAAAAAAACGATGAATAGTCCGGACAAGGATTTCTGGGTTCGAGAAGAAGAAAAATGACTCATCAAAACTTGTACGTGGGAGCTGGCGGATTTGCCACCTAAAAGAAAACTGTTAGATACTAGATGGATATTCAAGACTAAAATGAAAGCTGACGGATAAATTGAACGACACAAGGCAAGATTGGTAGTGCGTCGGTGGGCTCGAAGTTAAGGTATAGATTATACTGAGACGTATTCACCTATAATGAGATATAGTTCTCTACGTTTTTTGTTTGCACTAGCAGTGTTGTCGAACATCTGGATGTCATGACCGTTTATTTACACGGAGACTTCGAAGGGGAGATTTTTTTACGACCGCCACGGGAATTGATAGAGAATCAGGAAAGGTATGGAGGTTGATAACAAGGGAGCCATTGACATAACTGATAAATTAAGAGAGAAGTCGAAGGGAGGGCGAGGGTATGTCGCTTAATGTAGGAGAGAAGGGTCAATGAAACAAGATAGGTGAAGCTGTAGTATTACCTCGAATGTTTCTCAAAACTGCATACGCAAGTAGCTACGAGGTAATGTTATTGTGCACGCATCTCAAAGAATCGGAAATTAGCACCGATGACAATGAGTGAACCGGTACAAAGAAACCAGGACCGTCGAAGATCTTTTAGATAGGAGGAATCATCCTAGGTACACATTAAAGTAAGCGCAAAAGGTACTGGCCAGAAAGCGTACAGAAGTCAGTCAGTACCATCAAGCGTCGCCTGATTGTTGCTGGATACGGATAAAGAAACAATGGTCAAACCTTTTTTGAAACCAAAAAACCTACAAAAATGACTTAATTGGGCGAAATAGAACAATGAACGTAACTGGTCCAACGTCATCTTTCTGACGAAGCCTCTTTTTGGACATGGACTTCGAGGACATGTGCTATGGACGTTCTGTAAAGCACCCCACCCCGGATAGTCACAACTGGATACTTCAAGAAGACAATGATCCAAAACATTGGAGCCGTCTTTGTACCGCGTGAAAAGCCGAAAACAATATTGTGACCTTAAATTGGCTCTCGCAGTTACCTGACACAAATCCGATGGAAGATATCTGGTCGACCATGAGGATGAAACTTTGAGAGAGATGTATATTTACTTTTAAGCAGCTATCTTATTATATTTGCAGCATTTAGAAATTATTTTTGGCACTCCGGACCGAAGACCTCGATGCCGCCAGACTATAATCAATAATAATGGAAATTGGACGTTATATTAGGTACATGCATTCTAATGCATGTAGTGTACTCTAAGATTATAAGATTGATTTCTAAAACTAAATTTATTTCTAGAAATTTTAACCTGTACGATCTTGTACCACAGACTGTATATTACCGTTACCATTCTTTTAAATTATTACAAAATATAGCTAGACCAGACATTCCGAAATAACGAGATCTTATCTCAATTGGGATAATCATCGTTATATGAGATGGTTAATAAAAAATTTTTTATTAGCTGCCATATTTGTGTCGTGTTTATCGTCTTAAATAATCCTCCGTTTTAAATCCCAGTATAATAAAACCTTGTATGTACATAGATTCAACCTCAAACCAAAAGGTTGTAATAGCGAGGTTGCGTAACCCACACCCACCAAGGATTTATGTATAATGTAACAGCTACGATGGCCGAACGAAAGATCGACATGACAGCTATCGTAATATAAGTAATTTAACATTACAGCTTGCATGATTAAACGTCCATACTGTTCACCATAAGCACTAGGCGCTGGAAGTCAGGTGACAGAAACGGGTTTGTTAAAATGATGCAAACTATACAAGATGAATATCGTTATTTTTTATAATCTATTTAAAAGTCGGACTAATCCTATGAATTACGTTCTAGATGTAATAACAATCAAAAGTGTAATTGCTTTTTTATATTTGTTGCAGCAATCATCCTTATAATGAGTATAGGATACAACTTTGCATGGCCGTCAGTAAGTCTTGTTAAAATTAAAGCTAATGACTCCCCGGTAATGTTGACAGCCAAGCAGGCTTCGTGGGCCGTAAGTCTTCAAGTTTTTGGAGCAATTTTTGGGCCTATTATGGCTACGGCCATCGTTGGCATCGGCCAAGATTGGCAGGAAAATCTCTTTTACTCACTGCTATTCCATTATTAACATTAGGAATGTTAATCGTCATCGCCAGGACTTACATTTTACTCTTTACATACTTACCTCTATATAGCCAGGTATTGTATAATCATCAATTAGGATATTAGATCATTTTTTAAAAAATATTATTATAATAACTAATGATAATAACTCTTGTGATTTTAATCATTGCACTTAGAAAAGTTCAAAGCATTTAATAATAATTATATATTATAATTACACAGACAATACGCAAATCCTAAAGTCATCTATAAGATTCCAAAAAGACAACTTCTAATGCATATATGTGTTAAAGATGACTTTTGCACAGTATATTTTCTGGGTATATGTATATCGCCAGTATAAAAGAATCATTGAGGTTTCGCATTATAGTATCAGCAAGATAAACAGATGATGAATAATAAAATTATTAATAATCAATTACAATGTTTCAGTTCTTTCATCACTGACATTCATCATTCCTTTATATTTTCAAAGAATTTCAGCTATGTTTTTTGATTCTACATCAAACTCTTGGCTTCCTCTTGCATTCATTATTGGATATGTTCTTAGTCATAGCATTGATTTAACTGCGTTTACTGTTCTCTCAGAAATATTTCCAAGCAATGTCAAAGCTTTTGCTACCATGACAGTCAGTATTTATGCTGCAACACTTGGAATGATAATAACCAAACTTTATCAGACAACAGCTAACACTTATGGCGTAGAATCGGTATTTTGGATATTTGTAACATTTACATTTGTCTCTATTATATTTATATATTTTGTACTACCTGAAACTAAAGGACGCTCCCTGAAGGATATACAGGAAGAGTTTATGACTCGTGAAATGGTTCAAAGTAATTTATAAAGTTTCTGTTTGACCGAAAAGAATGTCAGAATTGTGATACTGTAGGTTTTAAGAGCTCTGAATTATTTAAAAGAAGAAACGACGATTTGCTGTGTTTCTACAGAGATGAGTGGGGAGATGTACAACGCTCCGGTTTTAGGCGATACCAAAAGGATGGCGCTAAATCGTAGCGGCGAGTCCGGGAGTAGGATTTCGTGATCATCGCTGCTTGCCAAGCTACACGTTCGACATCTGCTTTATCGACGGAGGCTATGATCACTAAATCCTACTTCCAGACACGCCGCTACGATTTAGCGCCATAATTTTGGTATCGCCTAAAACCGTAGCGTTGTGCATCTCCCTATTCATCTTTGTAGGCGATACCAAAAGCATGGCGCTAAATCGTAGCGGCGAGTCCGGGAGTAGGATTTCGTGATCATCGCCTCTGTCGATGTTACAGATTTCGCGTAGCCGCCCAGGTCATGATCATCGTTCCAGCCGGTATTGCAGTCAGCGAAAATAAATAGATTGCTCGTCCGGGAGTAGGATTTCGTGATCATCGCCTCTGTCGATGTTACAGATTTCGCGTAGTCGCGCGGGTCATGATCATCGTTCCAGCCGATATTGTAATCAGCGAAATGAATGGATTGCTCGGTGGTGGGGAAAAATTTGCCGCCCCTCACAAAACGTTCTTGACAAACAGGCGGGGCAGCAAAATCTTCCATCCAACCGAACCCTAAACATTTGTATGGACGTAATGCGCAAACAAATGTGTATATTCAAATAAATTTCAAGGTTATAAAAAATGCATAGAAATATTGGTTTTCACTCTTTACCTCTTATCATGCCGAAAATGAACATTAAAAAATGAATGGCGAAATTCGTTGGTAAATGAAACGACCGAGAACAGTTCAAAGAGAAATTTTGAAATATCATAGATATTTTCTATAATAAATTTAATTTAGTATTAAACGAGCATCGTAGCTGAGTCAATAACTTGTTCCTCTCTTTTAACCTTTCTAGGTTGCCCAAAGTTTATTTTATTCTCTTTTGTTCGTCCACGTGGAGAAGGGTGGCGCGAAAGTTCTTAACTGGTGTGCATCTTTATATTATTTTGCTTATATGTAAACTAAGCGAAACGACAATGGTAAGCAGTTGAATAAACGATGAAATTCTAGAAATACAACTTCCGAAACAAGTAAAACATATACGTGTTTTTGGCGTATGGCTAGTGCACCCTGTTACGAATCGGGAGGTCTATAGTTCGAGACCCCTCTATGGAGAGCACTTTCTTTTTACAAAAAAAA